AAAGTGTTTTAATAAAGAACATTTGAAAGAAACATTGATACAGGTAAAGGAAATATTCTTCATGGGATTTAGACTTCAAATCACTATCAGCAGCTTAATATTTGGGGCCTGTTCTTCATACAGCTGTAGGTGTACATTTATGTATTTAACAGTATGAGATTGATAATAATGGTCTTTAAAGCCTCTTTGTATTTGTAAGTATGTTTCTCTCATTCTTCTAAAATCTGCTCCAAACAAATCTGCTTTAAACAAATACGGCATAATCTGAACTTTTACATTTTTTTTTTTTCCCCTTCTGTAGTGGTATTTCAACTCAGGACCTTACTTCTAGGTTGGTGTTTGACTGTATGGGTCAAACCCCAGTCTTTTTTTTTTTTTTTTTTTTTTTTTGCTTCAGTAATTTTTTGGTTAGTATCTCAACTTTTTGCCTGAGGACACAATATGGATCCTTCTACTTAAACCACCTGACCAGCTGGGAACTCATACACAGTTGTCCCACTTTTCTGTTGGTTGAGATAGGTTCTCTATTTGCCCTATCTGACCTGGATCCTCTATACTCCAGATTTCTGTCCTTAGTCTCTCAATTGCTGGGAATACTGGCATATATCATGGCAGCTCACCTTTGAAGTTTGAAATTTAACATCCTTAATTGCATAGTTAATAAAAGCATTTGAACCTCTTCTGCTATTGCTTACCTCTTTTTGCCTTTGGAATTTTATTTCCTTGTGGCGATAGATCAAACACCCCAGACCTTTTATGTGGTAGGCAAGTGCTTCTATCACTAAGCTACATCCCCCACCCCATTACTTACATCTTAAGAATTTTCAGGGATTAGGGTTGTAGCCTAATGTAGAGTTATGTCCTTAGCAAGTGGGAGGTCCTGGGTTCGTTCTATCTAACCCCAGCACCTCTCCCACCATTTTGTGTGTGTGTGTGTGTGTGTGTGTGTGTGTCTCTGTGTCTGTGTGTTTGTGTACCTATATGGATAAGGAACCTGTATTGGTTTACTTAGCAGTGGAAGTGCCAGTTTTACTCCACTGGGTAATCATTCTTACTAGCATATTTGACAGGAAAAAGTGCAAACTTGCTTTTATGGGATATTATAGTAGGATTTTACAGACTTTTCAAGTAGACATCTGTATATGTGTAGAACACACAATCTATTTCGGCTGGCATCTTGTTGTAGCAGCAACTGTATAGATTGCTATGCTGTTTCCTGTATATTTTTTCCCCTGTCCTGAATGATTCTAAACTCATGGATATACTTAGGAACATCATGTAAGAACTTGGCTGTGGGCCTGTGGTGTGCAGAGGCTCGAGTGGTACACCTGCCTACCAAACTCAAGGCCCTGTGTTCAAACTTTGTTACCACCAAAAAAAAAAAAACCAAAAACACATTGGCTTTGTCTCCTTATAGATAATTTATGCTGGTAAATATTATCGAAACAATAAAAATTGGACTTGAGGCATGGCTTTTAAGAGGTAGAAGGCTTGCTTAGTTTGGTGTGCAGGAGACCAAATTGAATCCCCTACCACAAAAGCAGTGAAAACTCAGTAAGAGTGTCTCTTACGCTGTGCTGGAATTCTCTAGTAACCACAAAAAATGCCTTTTGTAGTTGCAAATGAAGTTGCAAACATTACTTTCTTAGTGCTGCGTATGTGTATATACACACATGGACATGTATAATGCCCTATAAACGTGATTGTTTTGTTTTCCCGTACATAGAACTAAGTCAAGAATATTGTGTAGGTGATATGTGCTTGTTAACTATTTTGGCAAATCAGGAGTCATATAAAGTGGCTCTGTAATTTCAGTTTTTTTTTTTTTTTTTTGGCGGGGAGTGGGGATGATTTCCCTGAGGTGGTAAAACCTATATAGTCTATAAAGATGCATGGTTTCCTTTTGTGCCTTAAAAATAATCTGCTTTCTTATCCAAATTAAGATTTACCATATTTTGATACTTTCCTCAATCCAATATTGAAAAAATACCAAGTTTTTGAGTCCGGGTATCTTTTTGTACTGAGCTGCACAGCCCTCTTTTTTAAAATGTTGGATATATTCGAGAGGGTCTCACGAACTATTTCCCCGGGCTGCCTTTGAACCACGATCCTCCTGATCTCTGCCTCCTCAGTAGCTAGGATTACAGGTGTGAGCCATCAGTGCCCGGCTGTTGGGGACTGTTTTGTATTTTGTAGTTGACTTTTAACAATTGCAATTTTTCTTCCCCTCCCCATCATTGGCACACTTTTTATTGCTGGGCAAGTGCTTTACCTCTGGATCACACCCTCAAGTCTTCACATGTAATTGATTGTTTAACATGTAACTTGGGGTCTATCTATAGTACATAAGGTATCTATGAGTGAGTTTGGTCCCAACATTTTAAAAGATGGCTACCTAATATTACCAGTTACTGAATTGTCAATTTCCTCCCGTTTTCTTATAATATCACAAGTATTAAGATACTTATTTGACTTAAGTATTTATAACAGTAATATAACAAAAGAAAAAAAAAGTTCCTCTCAAAAATAACCAGAGCAAAATGGACTGGAAGCGTGGCTCAAGAGATAGAGCACCTGCTTTGTAAGCATGAAGCCCTGAATTCAAATTCCAATCTCACCAATTAAAAAAAAGTTATGGGAAAGTAGCATGTGAGAGAGTATCAAAAGGGAACAAGGAACCTACAGGGGCAAAATAGGAGGGGAACTGTTTATGCACATGATGATGCTGTAAATAAAAAGAAATTCACAAATGGTAAGAAACTTAAGGAAATGGAGAAAGACCAAAACCTTGAGTCAAGATTGTTACCCCTTTAAAAAATGGTTCCAAGTCTTTACTGCCATCTAGTGCACTGTTTAAAAAATTCTCCAAAGGAAGAAGGGAAATAATTTTATATATTATTAGGAATTTCTGTTGAATTGCAAAGGTTATTTTAGGTTTGATGAAATAGTAATAAAATTTTAGAGGAATTTGTATTTGTTTGAATTAAGGGCCTCATGCTTTCTAGGCAGGCGCTCTACCACTTGAGCCACTCTACTAGCTGTGAATTTATTAATCTGAAACAGGTTGTTTGCCTTGTTCTTTACTGTGGTTTGACTTCTGATAAGCCATTCTGGTATTGTATAATCACTCTGGCTAGTGTTTAATATGATAAGGTAAACAACTTAGTGTAAATAAAGATGACAGGTTTGATACATCCTGTGTGTGGATTTTTTAAAAATTTCTTGGTTGCAGCATCTGAGAAGGCAAAGTAGAGACTGATTTCCATATCCATGAATCATAAGCATTTTTGTATCTTCACATTGCTACTAAAACCCCTTATTTTTGGAGTATCGGTGGTGATTCATGTAAATGCTGACCATTGAATTTGGTTCTGCCATCCTGTTTTTTTAATGTGGAGATTAAAAACTTAGTTGTGTTCTCTTCCAGGAAACCAGTTTATTTTCTGTTAGTGTGTATGTATCTAGGATATTACAATTTTTTTTCGATAACATACTTTAGTCTGAAGTAGGGTACAGTGTAACCTGAGATTATCTGGCTTTTTGGCAGGGGCTGGAGGGGTGGTAACTGGGGTTTGAATCACTCAGGGCTTCTTGCTAGGCAGTCTTCGAACTGTGATCCTCTTGATTGATCTCTGCCTCCTAAGTAGCTAGGATTACAGGCATGAGCCACTAGCATGCATCTTATCTGGCTATTTTTAAAACATTAAGGAATGCTACCCCCTTTTTAATAATTCTAAATAAAACCTGTAGAGTGTAAGCTCTGTGAACTGTATCTATATTATGATTTGTTTTCTGAAGTGTATAGGAACTTAGCAAATATTAAGTATTTGACAAAACACGTATACACGAGACAGGTTTATGCCCTTGAGAGTTAGTTTGTCATAATACACTTAATTGGTAGGCTAACTGGTACCTTTCATAATTTAAGGTTCTGTAGTAACTAACAAGGATGAAGCAGAAATAAATTAATTTTGTTACTTGAACCATATTCATGTTTGGGATAGAATGGCAAGAGCAGCAGACCTATATATAAGCTGATAAATTGTTAAATAAAAACAATGTCTTCTAAAAAAGAACCTGAGATGGTATACTGTGCACCTATAGTTGTAATAGGATTGAGCCTGTATTATTTTTTCCCTTCTTAGCTTGTCAGAAATTTATTGAGGAAGTTACAAGATCACAATGTTGATAGATCACTACTATATTCTGTAGCGCCATAATTTTTAAACTGCCTGGGGAGTGGTATTCTCTTTTTTAGCAGCTTCTGTTATCTACACTGTGTTCTAATGGCTAGTTTTATCATCTTCACCATCCAATATGAATAAATGTCCCAGATACAAAAAAATAGATTTTAGTCATGTGCCCCTATCGGAAGGTGGTATTTTTCTTTATCTTATGTATCTGTAGCATATGATAAATCAGTTATTACCTGGAAATCTATTTCCAGAGTAAATTAGATGACTTTAAATTTATTTTTTGTCCTATTTTATAAGAAGTTATATTCGAATGGTAAGGAAAGTAGGCAACGTACATTTAGCTAAAGAATCATTTGAGGTAGGCTTCGGGGTTTTATCTATTTTGGGGGAAATAGGTGATCCTTTTTAATATGTAATACAACAGTAATCAATAGTAAAGTATTTTTGTTCTTTTTAGTAAAGTATTGTTAAAACTAGCAAGTTGAAAAAAGTGGTAGAGAGCTTAGGGAATTCTGATTGGGTTAAAGACTTGAAATTACAGAATGGTCACTTGAAACTGTTTAAGAGGATTGTGTTGTGGTCTGAGGAAGATTTTTGTCCTATGTGAATTGCTAATCTATTGGTCTGGAATAGGAGTTGTTTTCTTTTAATGAGCACTAGGGGCAATAGGCTGTGAATAGATAATATACTTGATGCTGTAAGATTACTTGAGTGATTCTGTAGGTAGTTAAAATTAATGGTTCAAGATGAAAATTTTTTATCAAAGAATACTGTGAATCACATGAATGCTTTTTTTTCTTCCAGCTTTTCAGCTTTGTTAGAAACCTATCATCAAACACGATGGCTAGCAATGTCACCAACAAGACAGACCCTCGCTCCATGAACTCTCGTGTATTCATTGGGAATCTGAATACTCTTGTGGTCAAGAAGTCTGATGTGGAAGCAATCTTCTCGAAATATGGCAAAATTGTGGGTTGCTCTGTTCATAAGGGCTTTGCCTTCGTCCAGTATGTTAATGAGAGAAATGCCCGGGCTGCTGTAGCAGGAGAGGATGGCAGAATGATTGCTGGCCAGGTTTTAGGTAAGGTCTGGGTTCTGTAAATAATTTTCATTAATCTAATTCAGGTCTAATCTTTTTCCGTTTGATTAGCCACATATTCATTGTACAATTCTTTCTTCCTCCCTGTCTCTGGTAACCTAGTTTGAGATATAATGGCATGTTGTAGCTATAACTTTAATAAAAATGTCAGGCTTACAGATGTAGATGACAAAATGAAGGCTATTCTTCATTATGGCTTGTGTTATTTTGGTTTTGTTTTTTTTTTTTTCTTGTACTGGGGCTTGAATGCAGAGCCTCACACTTGCTAGGCAGGTGCTCTACCACTTGAGTCACTCTGTTTTTATGTTGGGTAGGTTTTTTTTGTTGTTTTTTTTTTGTGGTACTTGGACTTGAACTCAGAGTCTACATCTTGAGCCACTCCTAGCCCTTTTTTGTGGTGGGTTTTTTTTGTGATAGGGTCTCATGAACTATTTGCTCAGGCTGGCTCGGAACTGTGATCCTCCTGATCTCTTGAGTAGCTAGGATTACAGGAGTGAGCCACTGGCACCCAGCCTTAATTATGCCATTTTGTGAGATAGTGATTGGCAGTGTTCAGGTTGATGGGCCAGATGATATTTAATAATGTGGAGATGCTACCTAAATGCTCACGTACTCTGGGAGAATTGTCCTAAGTCAAGCCTGGTTGTGGAGTCGGGCTATCCATTTTGCATTGGTGTTTCATAACTTTGTATGTTGAACTGGGCACATAGCATAGCTGAGTCTGTTAGAATGGACATAAGTCTAAGATAACACCTGTGTGGCGAGAGAATTAAGGTTTAAATAGTGATGAGAAGAAACTTTAAGCTTCTGGTATAACTCCCAAAATGTTACACTCATGAAAGGGTATGGAGCAGTTGTGGCTGAAAATACGAAATAGGTTTTCACACTCATTTCTCTAGTACAAGGAAACCAGCAGTAACTTGTGGTGAAAATAACTAGAAGTTTTATCTTAAAATGAACACATTGCATGATTTATTTTGTCCTTCTATCATGTGTATGTCTCACCAAGGTTTTTTTTTTGTGTGGCACTGGAGTGTGAACTCAGGCACTGTGCCATGTGGTCCACATCTCAGTCCATTTTGCTCTAGCTGTTTTGGAGATGGGATGAACCTATTTAACCAGGCTGCACTCAGAACTGTGGTTCTCCTAGTCTCATCCTCCCGAGTAACCTGGATTGCAGGCATGAGCCACTAGTGTCCACCCTTACCAAGTTTTGACATTAGTGTTTGACCAGTCCTATTTTTTCAATTTTCCCTGTATCTCTTTTCAAAATAGTGCTTTTAAGACCTCAATGTATGAATTTTTAAACTTTAAATAAAATGTAAACCACATTCTCTTGACCAATTTATAGTACTTTCTTAACATCAAATATTTAATCCAAACTGAGACTTTTTCCTTTATTGTCTCAATCTTAAATTTTTTTAACTTAGTTTTTTCATACAGAATACGACCCATCAATACATATTATTTCTGAGATAATTTTATAATTTCTCATTATTTGTCCACAGTAAAAAAACTTAATGGCAGAACATTTAAAAATTTAAAGACATTTAGTTTGTTGGAAAAATCTTACAATTTTCCAGATTGTACTTGTCTCATGAAACTCGCCCTTTCCCCGCCTTTTTTTGTGGCTGCATTAGGATTTGACCACAGGGTCTTGTGCTTGCTAGACAGATGCTCTACTATTTGAGCCATCCGCCTTCCCAAACATGTTCTTTTTTTATTTTTGTAAAACTGGTAAAGCTAAAATAGTATTGTCGAATAGAAATGCTATTGTGAATTGTGTTACTTTAAAATTGATTTGGATTGTTACTTACAGTGTTAAGTACTGCTTTTATTTGTTTTTGGTAGGAGTGGGGTTTGAATTCAGGCACACTGCTGCTTGAACCACCTTTCTAGACCACTTCTGCTCTGTTTATTTGAACTGTTTGCCCTGTCTGTACTGGAATGGTGATCCTCCTGATCTCAGTCCCCCAAGTAGCTCTTACCACAGGTGTGAGCTTTGGCACCTTCCTTGTGTTATGTGTTCTATATTGCTTTAACAACACATGGTGTAACATGGTTGTCTTGTTTTCAAGTGATGACAGACCTCTTCATTAAGTTTCCTGTCAATTCTTTATCTTATGGTGATCATTTGTTGATGATTACTACTTAGATATTTCATTAGGAGTTGCACAGCAGTGATTTTTCTAATTGTCTATTTGTTAGCTGTACTGTTTTTCAAAAATAAATTTCCGGTAAGTGTACTTGGATGGGGGGGTTCTGAGATTTGAACTTACCTCATGCTTTCTAGGCAGGTACTTGACTTGAGCCATTCCACCACCCAAATGTTTGTTCTTAAAATAGTGTCTCATTACAAAGATCAGATAAATATTGCTTTGATTCTTCATTGTTTTTCAAATTTCGACATATATCAGTTGGTAATGATTATTTGTAAATATAATAATGTAAGTTTAGTGATACCACTAATATCACTATCACTCTGTCACTGAGCTTCAAATTTGGCACTGATTTTGGTGTCGTTTTTCTGGGTGGGACAAGGGTTTGAACTCAGGGCTTCCACACTTGCAGTGTAGACACTTTATCTCTGGAGCCCTTCCTTCACTCCCATTTTGGAGATGAGATTTCAGTCAATTTACATGGGTTGACCTGGAGCAGTGATCCCCTGGATCTCAGCCTCCCAAAAAGAATTTTATGTTTTTAAATTTTTTAAGAGTTCAAAGTATCTTTGGCTAGTAGATAACCTTCAAGTTGATTTCTGGGGTTTTAAAACGCTGGCTTCTTTATTACATGGGAAATGGAAACCAGATCCTGTAATCAAGACACATTTATAAAACACATTTGTGTTTTAATTGTTTTAGGTCACTTTATTGAAGCAGGACAGAAGAAAAAGAAAGCCTTTTTGTTAATAAACACAAAATTTGTAATATTCAAATTGTTACCTCCTGTACAACTCTGGGTAACTTTTTTCTTAGCTTGTTTTATATATGCATTCCTTTAGTTTCACAATCTCATGACTTTTTACTAAAAAATTAAGATTACTAAATACTGTATTTGAACTTTTTAAGTACTTTGTATACATTCTAATCTGGAATTGACTGAAGTATGTTAGTTAAGAGTAACAAAATAATTCCTTGATCATTTTATTTCCTTTTTTTTTTTTTTAACATCTTACTACTTTTCCAAAAATTTGTTTGTACCTTGGAAAAAAAATGGTTACCTAGGCAAAATTGGAAAAGCAAGCGTGCTAAACTTTAGACATTAAAAATTAGAAATAAGCTTATGAAATCAAGAACTCAAGATGTCAGTTTTTCAAGTGATTATTTTTGTTGACCTGAATTTTAGAGAACTGGTTTTTCGTTAATTGGATTAAGATGGTCTTTTTTGTTAGAACAAGAGAGAACACAAACGTTTCTGCTAGGCAGAGGATAGCAGAATAAGTTTGGGCAATCAAACAGATTGTCTTAAATGTTAGACCTTTGCTGTGTTAGTTTTAGATGTGATTTGGATAGGGGGAAGGTTCTTCCTTCCCCCCCACCCCGTGCCTGGAATTGAACCTTAGGACCATGGGTATGAGGGGTTTTTTGTGGGATTTTTTTTGGTGTTGCCTCAGGATTTTCATTTTAAACAATACAAGAGTTGTCATAATTTTTTGGCTTTGTTTTTCTTTTTTTTTCAGATATTAATCTGGCTGCAGAGCCAAAAGTGAACCGAGGAAAAGCAGGTGTGAAACGATCTGCAGCGGAGATGTACGGGTCAGTACCAGAACACCCTTCTCCGTCCCCTCTACTCAGGTCCGGAACTTTATTATTTATAACTGCATTGTGTCCATCAGTGGGCATCTTCTCTATCTGTTTTCTGGATGTGGGGAGGGTTTAATGTAATGTGTTTTATCTTTGTAAAAATAATGCTTTACTAATGTTGTGTTACTATTCTTCATTTTGCCCCTTTCTAAAGATTTTTTGCTATTAATAGTGTAGTTTTTTATATATATATATATATATATATATATATGTATATATATATAGCATAAATTGACATCCTGCAAGAGGAATTACTTAGCATCTAACAAGCTGGGGAGTAAGAAAGGGAAGGGACATGATATAAATATAACTTAACTGTTGTATCTTTTTTTCAGTGCTTTTGTTTTAGCTGATATGTTGTGTTTTAATTTTAAACCTAAATTAAGAATTTGACTACTGCATGTTCAGTAGTCTAAGATGATTCATATTTAGTGATGTTATTATTTTTATTGTTATTATATACTAATACTGTTGATCAATTTGTTGTGGATATTTCCTCCCATCTATTGTTGTGAATTAGCATCAGCAGCTCCAAATTAATTTTCCTTGGTATTTATTTTTCAGCTCCTCATTTGACTTGGATTATGACTTTCAACGGGATTATTATGACAGGTATGTTCAAGGCATTTTCTTTCCTCTCTTGTAAAAAGCTATCTAGTAAAAGCCATTTCATTTTTTTTTTTTTTGAAGTAATGAACTGCATACATTTTCAGGCAAGTCTTAGTTAACACCAGAATAAGAAAAAAATGTGCCCCTCTGAGTAGTCAAGTAAACTAGGTAGGGCAATATTGCTATTGACTTAGCGTTGTAAAGTCATAGCAAAATTATATAAACCGTCGCTAGCCATAAATATCAATGTAATAAGCAGCATATAATGAACTAATAGTAGAAATTTCCTTAGAACTTAATATTTAAAGATTTATAGCACTTACAGGTTTTTCTAAGACACAATGAGGTTGGAATACTTATGATTTCTTTCTTGTATTTCCTTATTTTTGATGGTCCTGAGGTTTGAATTTATGAATTTAGGTGTGCTAGACTTAAGCCACAACCCAAGCCTTTTTTTTGGTTTTGTTTTGTTTTTTTTCCCAAGATAGCGATCCTCCTATTTGTGCTTCCCTGCATAGTTCGGGCCCATACATTGGTTGAAATGGGTTTTGCTGACTTTTTTCTTAAACTTTTTTTTAAACTACTGCCTTTCATTTTTAGATGGATTGTTCAAAGGAAGTCAGTAGCTTAAATGTTTAAAAAACAGGGGAAGGCAAAATCTTGGGCTTACGACAGTCACAGAAGGCTGGTCAAGGATCTGTATTCTTACAGAAGATAAATAGTGTGACTTTCCCCAGGTTCAAAGTGATTCTGCAGGTGTCACAGTTGTAGGTGTGGGACAGTACTTACTGCTAAGGCCTTTGGAACAGATCGTGCTGTTAGACAATGCAGGTTAGAGAGTGGGACAACAAAAAGTAGTCAAGGCACCAGCCAACATTCCTTGACTGGGCATTCATCATGTGAGTACAAAAGATGTAAGCATAGGTAGTATTGGGGTAGAGATGTCAGAAGCTGTTCACTAGTGCCACATGCTGCAACAACTTCCCAAAACCTTGACGCTCTTGAGGATTGAAGCTAGCATTCTTTTTGTGTCCCTTGGGGTTATGAAGGTTGATTTCTTCATTAGCCACATTGAGGTCCCCACGTAACACAAGCCCCTTATGGGAATCCACACCCTTCAGAAATTTGTGAAAAGCTCATCCCAGCTCTGCTGATATTTGTCTTACCAGACTGCTGCCTGCGTCAGGTGTGTAGGCTGTCAGCAGCACCATCGTGCCTTCCTGAACATGTTCCTCTTCAACAGTGCTGCAAGAGACTTAAATTTTTATTAAAAAAGTACAAAGTTTATAATTTTTTTCCATAAAGTCTGTACTATATCATTCATGAACCCCTGTGGAACATCAGCAAAATTCAAAAGAAAACATGATAAAAATATGTTATGTAGACCAAAAGTACACATTGGATCTTTTAACTACTATCCAATGTGTTTATGGTTTTGGTTTTTTTTTCTTTAATTTTTTATTATTCATTTATTCACATGTGCATACATTGTTTGGGTCATTTCTTCCCCCATGTATCCTTCCTTATGATGGAGCTGACCAGTATTGATGAGATAGTCCAGTCAGTTCTGGAAGTTCAGCTGGTAATTTGTTCTTCTAACATTTGGTCTCTTGAAGGCACAGGGTATTTCGGGCTGCTTTTATACAATCTGGGAGCCAATCCACATTACAAGAGCAGATACTGAGTGTAGTGGATTTGCCACTGGGTAAGGTTTTCTGATCTGGAGTGTCCTCATACATTATGGGGCCCTCTCCTAATGCCTCTTGTTTTTCTTTGCTCTTCCCTTAATCTTCTTGGTCTTTGGCTCTATAAAATGAGTAAGAGATAATGATGAGAGTTGTAGACTTAATTCAACCTTAGCCAAGACCTAGGAAGAGCCTTAGGTGCTCAGACTTCTCAACAAACTCCTGCAGCAATATGACTATTTAACATTCATGGAGGAATTTTCAACACTTACACCACAGCTTGTAGGGACGTGCTGGTTTTGTTACCAGTCTTGGGCTCTTCTGCATCTTCGGCCTGTGTTCTCCCATTTTCTCAGGCTTTGGCATCCCTTAAGGCACGCCCATCGAAGCACTATTTTTACCATGTTGCTTACAGACTCAAGGAAATTATGAAGTAGGCTAGGGAGAGGAACACACCTCTCTGTCATGACCGACCTCAGGTCCTGGCTTTCAAACCATCTGTGAGTTCTTTCCCTGCCATTGAGTACAGTAAGCCCTTTAGCACGTCATCCACATTAGGTCATTTGAGCGCCTGTATTCACAACTTCTGCCCTTCTGCCCACTGAGTATCTTAATTACCGTCCCAGTTCAAGCTTGAGGATCAGACAAAACCCCTAAGAGGAGCAGAATAGTAATCCTGAGTCTCTTGCTGGGCTTGCCTCAAAACTTTGGTCTTCCTGATAAAGCTAGGGTTACAGGCAAGAGTCACCATGCCCAAGCTAATCATAATTTCTCATGCGTTCAGAGTATCATTAGTGGGAGTTATCTAGGAGTAATGTATAAGCCGATTGATCTGTTAACATTGGTCTTCATACTAAAAAATTATGGGCTTTATTTGGATTGCTCCTTCTGAAATAAGTAATATGTGGGAAATACTTCTGCTTTATATATACTTCTATTTTTATATATAGTGTGAAGGACTCTATTGCTTTTTTTCCATCTTAGAATGCCAGTTTTCCAAATACCTATTTTTATGTTAATATATGACTTTGATACATCTGTCTTTGCTTTTATAGAGTGTAATAGATTCCATAGATTATAGAACTTTTCACAGAATTATTCAAAGGATTTATATAAAGGAGTCAAGTTAGCCAGTTAATACTATGGTATACTATGGTATATTAAAGCTGGAAAAATTGAGTCTTCATCATAAAAGTTCTTGGATTATACATTAAGATCGTATGGTTTGGTGCTGAAGACATGGCTCACTTGGTAGAGCACGTGCCTAGGAAGTGGGAAGCCATGAGGTGAAACTGCAGTGTCATCAAAATTAAAAAAAAAAAATATATATATATATATATTTAATTACATGTTTTGAATCTCAGTGCCTCACCAGAATGGTTATTTCATTTGTCTGTTGAGATTTTTTTTTCAGATCCTTATTCATGTTCAAACATATATTTGAAAATTAATGCTTTTGTGTCTAGAAATTCTGTTTTTAAAAGTGGGGGTAGAACTTAACACTTGAAGGACTAGATCTAGGTATTTTTTTTGCTGCTGATTGGTTTGATGGAATGCATTTAAACCAAGTGTGAATGAAGCTCCCTGAGCTTAATCTGTAGCACCAAAACAAAACAGAACAAGAAACTGGGGATGGAGGGAAAATAAACCCAGTGAGTTAAGGTGAACCAGCTTCCATATCTGTACATAGGAGTCGCGTAGCCACATGTTAAGTGTAGTCAGGCCACTACACCGGTTAGGGATTGTTACCCAGCTAGTCTTAGGTAGACCCTGAGGTTACTGGTATCTTAGTTTTGTTTTTGAGACAGTCTTAACTGTGTAGGTCAGGGTAATTTGGAACTCTTGAACTTCCTGACATAGCCTCTATAGTGCTGGAATTGGAGGCATGTCCCACCGCATTTAGATATACTACTTTTTTTTTCTTTTTAAAGTTCTCTGTATGTTTGTGTCAGGGTTGACAATCATTGATACAATCTGAAGGTGTGATTTTTGTTTCATGACTCTCTTTAGAAATATTTTAATCTGGTGCCATAAATTCTGAGAAACTCAAGTTTTAAATTGTGAGTGTATAGAAAACTGTTTTGGTTGTGGTGTTGTGTATACAACCCAGGAACTATACTTCAGCCCAGTATTTGCTGCCTTTTTGGCAGGTACTCGTTCACTTGAACCACACCTGTAATCTCCTTCTCCCACAGTAGTTACTTCCTTTTTGGGAGGTTGGCACTGGGTTTTGAACTTAGGGCTGCATACTTGCTTCTCAGTTGCTCCCTGGCTTGAGCCACTCCGTCAGCCATTTTGTGATAGGTCTTTTCAAGATAGGGTCTTAGGAACTATATCCTCAAGATCTCTGCCTCCTGGGTAGCTAGGATTACATACAGGAGCCAACATTGCCCTTTTTAATGAGAAAAGTCTTTAAGTTTTAATCTTGATGAGACAGATGGCTGTGAATTTGAAAAGAAAAGTTCTTAGTGGGGGTTTTGGAAAAAGTAAAAAAATAGACAACATGGAATGTTGAAGTAACTTTATATTTGCAAAAATACTTTCACATTTCAGATTTCTTACCACTTTGTGGTCTTGTTCTTGAAGTTCCTCAAGATACTGTTAGCTATTCTCTGATGAATCAGTTCATATTTGAGTATAGTGTCTTCTACTCTAGCTTTAGCCAATACAAAAAGTTTTCTGATGATTAATGGAGCGCATAGATGGTAGCTGGTAAGTTGACTCCACTAGAGTCCTGCGATTTGTGGTGGAGAAGTAACTATGTTTATTCAGGAGTTTTAGGAGATTATTACATGTTGAGAAGGACTTGAATGCCTCATATTGACTTGGAGGATTCAGTTTAGGAAAATGTTACTCTTGTAAGAAGTCATTCTGAATAATTTGTAAGGTTCAGGTTTTGTTTTAAGTCAGTAACTTAGTGAAGTTTATAGTAAAAGAAGTTAAAATTTTGGCTCTGACCTGTGCTTGAAAGTGTCTACTAAATTGGAATTTCTTTAACTACATCTATAATGAAATTTTCATGATTCATGATACAGTTTTTTTTTTCCTGAACTATTAAGTTCCATCATGTATTATTTTGATAGGAAGGTAGGTATACGGAGCAGAGAAAAGAAAAACTGAGAAATGCAAAAGCCTTGTCAGTTAACAAGACAAGCTGTGACCAGAGCCATTATTAAATAATGTGGTTCTTTTGAGGGGAAGAATGGAATTTCAGCTCAGTGCTTAGAGTTTGCAAAGCAGGCACTATATAGCTTGAGTCATGCCTCCAGTCCTCATCTCTTCCTTACCCCCCTGTCAACGCACCCCACCCCAAACCCA